ACAGCGTCCATATCATGGATCCAAGGTCTCCCCATGATCATATTGTAAGCCATTTCCATATCTACTACCTGAAATTTAGTTTCTTTAACAACACCTGCAGCAAAAGTTATTAGAATTACCTCTCCTTTTGTTACCACACTTGAATTGTCGAACCCGGCAAGGTATGCGCCTTCGGTATCATTTTGTCTTCAGCTTCCATTTCACGTAATACCCTTAGTAGTATAATATTTACGGAACTTCCTGGATCAATCAAAACTCGTTTTACATTAGTGTTGTGTACAAGTAAAGATATTACCAGTGCGTCGTTGTGGGGGGTCATCACTCCTTCAGTATCTGCATCATCGAAAGAAATACTTTCGTTTTCTAAAACCTGCCGTACCCGTTTCCCGTGTGTAATCGTTACTTTAGAAACCTTGTTGGAAGCCGTATATGTTACACCATAAATATGTTCTCCCCCACTTATAACATTCACGGTTCTCTTGGGTGATGGGGGCTTTGGTGGCTCTTGCCTATTTTTCATATAGGCTTGCTTACCTTTCTCACTAAATAACTCAGTGAGATACCCTTGTTTCAATAGATGGTCCACTTCACTTTGTAAGAATCTACATTCTGAAGTCTTATGCCCGTGATCATTGTGGAATTCGCACCAATGATCTAGATTGCGCCTATTTGGATTTGACCGCATCTCTTTTGGCCACCGTACCTTATCTCCCATGCTCCTCAAAACAGCTACGAGCTCGGAGGTAGTGACATTGAAATTATATCCACCGAATCTCGCCTTTAAACTTCTGTCATCATCTCGTGACTCTTGTCTGTTTCGGTCATTTCTGAACCTTGATGAAGAACCAGATTCCCTGTTCCTCGATTTTTGATCATATCGTTGATTATCCTGCTTTGACCGTGAGTCTTTTCCTGCAGGTCCCATATATGGATCGTATCTGTTTTTACCTGATCTTTTTTCGGTTTCTGACCTCCTGGAATTGCTCCTTTCTTCATGATGAAACTGAGTTACGGTATCTTCCTCAATTCGCAACTTCGTACTGTACCTGTCATAAACGCCATTCCACGTGGTTGCAGGGAACTCTTGAAGGCTTTCTTTAAGTCTTCTCATGGCTTCTGAACTTTTATCATTTAAGTTGCTTGCAAAAGCTATTGCAGCCCAATTATCAGGTACACGGGGTAAAGTCATCCTTTCATGTTGGAATCTATCAACAAAATCTCTGAGCAACTCTGAGTCCCCTTGTTTAATTTTAAAAATGTCTTCCATTCTTTTCTCAACCTTTTGAGCTCCCGAGTGTGCTTTAATAAAAGAATCTGCAAGCTCAGCAAAAGAGTTTATAGAATTTTCAGATAAAAGAGAATACCAGGTTAATGCACCCTTAATGAGTGTTTCTCCAAATTTCTTGACCAACACTGATTCAATTTCTTGCTTGGTCAAGTCGTTGCCTTTTACACCTGTAGTAAATGCAGTTATGTGATCACGTGGGTCTATTGTGCCATCATATTTCGAGATGTCAGGCATTTTGAACTTTTTAGGGATTGGAAGGGGAGCAGCACTTGGTTTCCAAGGTTGTTGTGAGTATTTATCCATATCCACTCCTTTGATTACAGGGGAACTCCAGGGATTTGCTCGATGCGCTCATTTTGTTCCTTAAGATATTTCTGCAAAGTTAGTACTAAATTTTGCAAATGAGAATTATTTGAATTACCTGGTTCTCCTTCCTGTGGTTCACTGGGGGTTCCTCCATTTCCAGAAATAACAAGGCCAGAACGAGGATTCTCCAATGTATTGTTACTAGGCGTAGGTGTGGGTGGTGCAACAGGTAATCGACTAACTAGAGCTTGAAGAGTTTTGCTAACCCGTGCATCAATTACGTTTTTGTAAAGCGTCATCTGCTCCTTCAAAAGATTCAGATTGCTCTTGTTCAACAACACGAGATTCAGGAGCAGGAGTGCCTTCACGAGATTGACGTGGCGAATTTTGAGGGGAAGGAACCACGTTAATGTTTTGTAAATCACCTTGATTTTGATGGATTTGATTTTCATGGTTTCCCAAGGTATTTTCACTGTTATTGTTGTTGTTGTTGTTGACATGATGATAACAACAGACAAAATGTAACTTAAAAAGAATAGATTATCAGATTCCCGGTAACGGAACCAATTTGTTTAACCAAAAAACTGAATATTTGGTTAAAGCTAGAAATTAAGAGAGAAATCGGGTTACTGATAATCAAGAAATGAGAGACTTTGAGAACAACAATAAAGCAATGAATAAGTATATATTTCAATATAATCTCAATGATATTTCGTGTCCTACAGATGTTGAGACCTTCTCCTTTTATAGTTAATTCTAAGAGAAAGTGTAATGCCTTTGTCTTAATGAGGCAATTACGAGCAATAAATGACATTAAAAGAAACGTTACTCAATCATTTCTATTAAATACAAATTCTCTAATGTATTTGGCATTTAATGCTGAATTTGGACTCTTTTACGCTATCAGATTCATGTCTTCAATTCCTTCTGATCTTCGAGCTTTAAATGACTCGAACAGGTACGAGTCTCATTTTATTTGAATAATAGCTCGTGCCTTTAAGTATCTTCTCTCCCGCATCTGTTGTTGCTCGTGCCTCCTAACTGATTACCATGTTTTGACCATTTGACCAATCCACGTGTCATAACACATCATCTTTAATATATAAATTCAGTTTTTTCCAATACAACCTTCAACCTAAAGTTAGAAGCATTGATCATGTTCTATTTGACGTATTAACCATTGATATTAACTAGACTAAATGAGTGCTGGTTTTGAGATCATTATCAGTGTAAGGTGTATACATGCAACCTTCTTTCTTTTTCTTTTCCGGGTATAGGACAATTACCTTGATTTCAAAGACTGAATTGAACTTATGTTATTCCTCACCAAGACTGATCGATTGCTTACGCTCGTTCTCGCTTTACCTTTTTAGGTACTCATTCTCTACTTGGTTTCCGAGTTTAGGATTGTTAGACAGAGTTGGTTATATTGGTTCCTATATTAGTATAAACCCCATTGAATAAGAAGAGAAAATACATAATGAAACAATAATACTTCCTCTGCTCTTGCAGCATTTAGTGTGTCAAAAATATGAAAGTACATTTGGTAACAATTTAATTTAAATATTTTAATTTACTTTTAATGTAAAGTTTTTACAACTATATAATTGATATGTCATTTTTCAGACCACATGTTTCTAAGTTGGCTAGACAGATAAATCTTATAGTAATATGTTTAAAATATAAATTTTAAAAGTTTTTCTTTCTTTTTTAAATTCTATTTTCAGTCAAACATATGGGCGTGAAGGAAAACGCGATAATCTAAACACATTAGATAGCAAATAAACCGTAAAATGAGAACTTACTTGTTCGCGTAACGGAAGCGAAAGTAACGAACGAACCGTGACTGAAATCTGTTGGGCACATGCCCATGTTGTCCAGCCAAAGGCCCAATGGCCTAATCCTATTTTCTTTTGGTTTCCAATCCTATTTGGAATTGGATTCGGTTTATTCGTATTTTGAGTGGGTTTTGGCTTTAAGAGAAAGCACCACTCATGATCTATAAATAGGACAACCTTGGAGAATTATTCTATGCTCATTGATACAAGTCTTTGAAAGACTTAAACACATAAGAGTGGGTTTTGAGAGAGCTTTCATCAAGAGAGAAGAGAGAAAAAAAGTATTTGTTTTGTTGCAGATTTTTATTCCGACCAGCCAAGTTCAAATCACGTTTTCCGATTCGTTAACCGTTGGATCGGGCTGAAATTTTGACTGAGTATTCGTAACATCTTGGTCTTGGATTTGAACGGTGAAGATCAGATTTGGAGTCTCGTAGCATCTGATTTCGAGCCTCGAACAGCAGCTTCGTTTTGTGGATTATACTCTTTCTTCAATTGATTAGTTGTTGCTCTTGTTGCTATTGTTGCTCCGTGTTTGGCCCTTGTTGTGCAGCCAATTTGGAGAACTTTTATAACCCTCTTATTGTTATAGTGGAGCTTTTTGGATCTTTGTGATCTCGTGGTTTTTACCTTCGATTTGAAGGTTTTTCCACGTTAAAATTTGGTGTTCTTTATCTTCTTTATTTTCGGGTTTGGCTCTTTCTCGACATAACAAAATCATTGGTAGATGGTGGTTGTCACGTTGCAGTGTGGAGTTCATCTGAACCTAGTATTTCTAATGCGAAGTATAAATTTAAATTTATAATATTGTGAACTTATAAAATTCAAAGTTTGGATCTACTACGGTCAAATTAGGCCACATAATGAAATCATCAAGTTTCTAGTACTAGACCAGTAAGCATTGTAGCTGGAACAGAGACTCGAGAGCTTCTATGAAAGCCGAGTTAGGAAAAACTGGTAAAATGTAAAATCGGTTCTCCGACGTTGAAGGCCCGGCAATTCACCCCCTCCCCCCCACCCCACTCCCCTATTTTCCCCTTTTCCCGGTTCCATAGTACAGTCTGCCCCTACTACTACCATTTTTCTTCAATTAAAAATACAAACAAAAAAAGGTCAAACACAACTTCCTTTTCTCTCTTTCCGCCTATTTAACTTCATTTCTCTCATTTTCTTTCCCTCCCCCTTTTCCTCTCTTTCTCTCTTTCAAGTTAACATCTCTTATTGAACAACATTTTTCTTAAAGCTAGTTTTATGGAGAAAGATTACTTCATGAATGGTGGAATTACTAATCCACCCCTCCAATTCGAACCCACTATGACTATGCCATTCCCTTCTAATTGGAATTCCCTACATTCAGGGCAATCTTCTGATTTTTTCCTTAACCCAAATTGGGATCATGACTCTACACATCAATTCGACTCAACTTTGAACTCAATTGTGTCTTCTTCCCCTGCTCAATTAATTGGTAAACTGAGCACAGTTTGCAGCTCCCCACAATCTCCATTTAACAATAATAATACTAATACTAATAATTCATGTTACACTACACCGAAATTACACATGCCTAGTTTGGGAAATTCACTTCCTTTAAATCCTCCATTGCCTGCTGTCTCTAATGATCCTGGTTTTGCCCAAAGAGCTGCTAAATTTTCTTGTTTTGGTAGCCGTAGTTTTAACGGTAGAACAAGTCCATTGGGGGAATTGACACATAGATCTGCTCAACAATTGGGGAATGGAAAATTGCCTAGAGTTTCGAGTAGCCCTTCCCTGAAGCAAGCTGGATCCCCTTTGCAAATCAAGAATTCGGGCCAAACAAGGATGGAATTGATGTCTTCTAATGAATCTGTTTCTGAGCCAAGTGGAGAAACAGGGCCAAAAACTCCAACTGAATTGAATTCTACTAGAAAAAGAAAAACAGCTTCAAGCGAGAAAACAAAAGAAGCTGCTCCTGCTAATGGAAACATGGTAAGAATTATTACAATCTTGATTTGCTTAATTAATACAATTAGTGGCTAATCAAATTTTCATTTTAGGATGATGATAATGCAAGAACAAAGCGATGTAAACAAGTAGTAGTAGAAGGTAATGAGACAGAAAACGGAGCAGTTAACATGGAGGAATCAAAGGGAAATAATGAAGGTGATGAAACTCAAAATCAAAAGCCTCCTGAGCCACCAAAGGATTATATTCATGTTAGAGCAAGGAGAGGACAAGCTACGGATAGCCATAGTCTAGCTGAAAGAGTAAGCATTACAACCAATTCTTCTGAAAAAGGAAAATGTCAAATCTTAAATCATGAAATCACTTGTTGTTTCAAAATCCATGTTTTCTGGTGTTAACAATATATAATAATTGCCTTTTTGTGTTTAATTAGGTACGACGAGAGAAGATTAGTGAAAGAATGAAGCTTTTACAAGATCTTGTACCAGGCTGTAATAAGGTAATTAGCTAAACAAAATTCCTTTTTTATAGCATATGAATAATAAATCCTGTTCTAACGCAGAGCAAAATTTGTGTCTACTAGGTGACAGGAAAAGCATTAATGCTTGACGAAATTATAAATTATGTACAGTCACTACAACGACAAGTAGAGGTAAATTTTACAAGTAAAATTTTCTTCCAAATGGCCTATGAAATGTTTTTTTTTTTTTTCTGTTCATGAGCTAAATGCAACATTCTTTTGTAGTTCCTATCCATGAAGTTGGCTTCAGTGAACCCAAGTTTGGATTTTCCAGCAGAAAATCTTCTCCCAAAGGATGTAAGTGTGTCATAGTAATTCAACGGCTTCGTTTTAATTTATATGACATTATCTGACATGCTAAAGCAATTTCTTTTTCCAGATATGTCAACCAAATGGCTCTCTGCCCCAGCCTGTTTTCCCAGTAGATTACCAACAACCCCGGCAACTTCCACAACATACGGCGAACACGTTAGATAACTCACTGTTTCGCACTCTAGGAATGCAATTGCCTTCCTTAGATGGACTTGGTGAATATCTTAATCAGGTGATTAGCCATTCAATAATAATTCAAGAACTAACTTATATACACTGACTGACGGTATAAAGAATATTTAACATTATCACTGTATTTAATCGATTATAACAGCTAACTTGCCTTACTTTTCAGTTACCAATTTCACTTTTCATTGACAACTACTACTACTACCTAATTTTTAGGTGTCAGTGTACGTCTTTTATAGAAGTTAACCAAACATTTTTGTAATTTGGTTGTGACAATTGCTTGATTTATCCAGTTCCCTACAATGTGCGAGGATGACCTGCAAAGCATTGTGCAGATGGGATTTAGCCAAAATCCCAACAAGGATCTGACATTGCAGTCACAAAGTTTTCCTGGTAAGAAGAGAGAGAGGCAAGTTTTGTTTTCTTTTCTTTTATGTTTTTCTATTTTTGTCAAAATTTAAGTTCATAATGATGAAATCTTGAACTTTCGATTAATGAGTATGTTTTCTTTCTTTTGATGCAGGGCCTCATCAAACGTCTCACATGAAAATTGAGATGTAGCCACCCCACCCCACCCCCCCACCCCCCCACCCCGGAGAAAGAGGCTGCTGTATATAGGAAGTAGTAATTTTTAGTTTAATATTCTTCAGAAATTACTAATTGACAATATTAGATTTAGTTTTGAGGATTACTTTCCTTAGTCCTCTTAATGTATAATAATTGATTTGGATGTACTGATTTTTGCTTTGGTAAGTCATGAGTCTTTATTGTATAATCTTAATTAAGATCGAAGAGTCATTTGGGTGCAAAATCTTTAACAGCACCACATTGTAAGATATAGTATTTCTTTGTAAAGCAATGAGAAATTCAGATGTTATTATGAGTTTTCATTTTCAGAAACATTGTCCATTAAATCTCATATCAATTGACAAGTTACACTCAAATCTTCTAAAAGATTTGCTTATGGTTGATGTCAAATTATACAGCAATTAAACCGCAAAATTCTGGTAGTTATGATTATTTAGGTATGTTGTAACCAGCTGTAAGAGTGGGGCTCCTTAGTTCTCTTTCAAAAGTCTTATATGAATGATTAGTTACAATTAATTTAACTTGAGATGGGAGTCAGCCTTGATTTTTTTGGCACATTTTCTAGGGTTAGTATCAGTAGTATAATTTTTTTTACATTATTAATATATTTTAAACAATTATAGTATATTATTTTCTTTAAGTTACCAAATTAGGTTTACTAGTGATAGTTAAATATTTTTCTAGAGTACCTTAATCTGATGATTACAAAAAGAATTATATATACCAACCATACACAAAAGTTAAGCTTATGTTTGTTCTGTAAATAAGCCAGAAGCAGAAGCTTCCGTCCATCTATTTTACAGTGGTGCAGAGTACTAATTGAAAAACAAAAAGAAATTAGGAAATTGGGAGTCTGCTCTCTTACTTAATTAATGTTATATAATTATATTAAGGGGGACATAAAAAGAATCCCAGGTTGGCAATGGGTGAGATTCTGACTAGACCCAATGAATGAGAGGACTTTAATTATCCTTCTTATTCTAAAATATAAATGAACAGGAAAAAGTTAAATGAGTAGTGGAGTTCAGGCATGAAAAGATACCCTTAAAAAATTAGATTAATCATTTGATGGAAAGAGATTAGCAAAAATCAAGTTTATGGGGTTTAACAAAAGATTTCTGCCTTGCAGCCTTATCTTATTTTAATAAGGAGGGTTAGTTCCATTATTGTCCCCCACCCCCACCCCCCCAAAAAAAGCATATTTTAATTATCACAAAGATTCTTTTAATTTGGTCGCTCTCTTGTATCAAAAGGGTTAAATAACAAATTATTAATTAGTATATTTAAGATCTTAGAGGAAACATAATATTTTAAGAAAAAGATAAAAGGAAAGATCAATCATGTTAGGAAATGCGTTTGCAAGTAGAATTTTTAATCTCATCTCTACCAATAATTTGGAACATTTAATCTTTTTGGACTTCGGACTCGTATTTAACAATACCACTTCAGATTATTGAGATTTTGCTTTGTCTTTTAAGGGTTAAGAGAAAATAATCTCTGCGTAAAATTAGATATTACAAAATTTCTATGATAACATTTGTAATATTTTATAGCAAATTTAATGTAACACAACCCTTTTATGTATTAGCAACACATGTGTTAGATTATTGCAAAAATGCCGTTAAACTATATATATATATATATATATAATAAATCGCCGACTGCTTTTAGTTTAAATGGTTGTATAGGTGGCTATTTAAATTAGTTCTTCCTTAAAAACTACTCCTATACATTATTTATATGTTAACGTTCCTTACTTACTTATAATTATTTATGAGTACTTAATCACCGCACAAAAAGTTCTGCAGCATAAAGCCAAAGAAACCTAACAGTATTCTCCACATTTACTAATTATAAGGTAACTTTCATGGAGATTTCTGGGCAGGACTTGGATGTCTCTTCTTAAATTTCATATTAACTTTTCTGGATGGAAAAGGCCAAACAAAATGTTGTGCTTTTCTCCTTTCTTTTTCATTTTTCCGTTTCGTAATCCAAATTCGTATGGACGACAATGATGGCTAATCACGAAAAGAATTAATTCATATTATATGACACTACTAATATTTGAAAAATCAAATTTATATGGTATTAACTAAAACTTATCATATAATTTTCAGATAAATTTAATTATAAAAAAACAGTAACTTATAGTACTTTTTATGTTTTCTCATTTTTTATTTAAAAATATAAAATAAATATTTGAACTAAGAGAAAATTAGAGATTTTTATGCTCGTATTCTAATGTTTTAATTTTTGTTTAAATGAAAGGAGTAAATTGGAAGTAACTGACATGAATGAGGCTGCAGCAATTGTCTGGTTCTTATTTGTCTGGTCTACCAAATTTCACCGATCATTTTTATTAGGCAGTACTATGTTACACCCCCCCCCCCCACACCTACCACTAAAAAAAAAAAAAAAAGAATATGCATCTACCGGTGGAAACAGGCTTTTCATCAATAAGAATAAAAAAAAAAAGAAAATATACAAAGAAGATTTAATATTTTAATATATAAAATTTTTTTATCTTATATACGCATTTTAATTTTCGAGTAAAATTGATTCGAATGAACCTCTTCCACCTTTTAGTTCCATTCAGTCTGCATTTATGTGATGTCTTCATAGTTCATAGAAGTTAGTGGTTTGAGAAAAAAAAAAAAAAGTGGTTTGAGTCATTTCACTACTTTTAAGTGAGAAGCAGCTAATAATCTTTGGTAAATTTTGGGAGGAATTTTTTGCCTGAAATGAAGACTCCTACTCCCACTTCAAGCTAGCCCTAAATTAGCAGTCTTAGCTAGGTTGTTGCTCTACTGTGCCCATCAACAAAGTATACCACTAATTAACCAGAATATTAACCTAATTAGGGACACACCTACTTGCCTATAGCTAAGTTTGTGCTTTCATGTGCATATGTACTGAGTTAGAAATGTGATTAAGACATAAAGATGTTTAGCACCGCAGGGAAAAACTCTTTACTTGCACGTTTCAAATTTTGCACCCATCTGGGAATTGACTTGTTGATAACGCAAAAATGGGTACAGCTATATTGAAGAGCAAATGTCCAAGAGAAGTACAAATTGAAGTGAGTCATCTTCCCTAAAACTAGGGATGTCAATGCTGCGGGGCGCGGCCGGTTAAAAAATGCGGGGCAACTTTGAATTTTATTTTTTTTTGAAACAAAGCAATCATTTCAACTATAATGTCACATTCTTTTTTACTAGCACAAATGCTATTTTGATTTATAAGTAACCCATTTGCATAAGTCTCGACAAAATGATATTACTTAAGTCAAGATATCGCATTAGTGATAGGAAATGATAGTAACCCATTTATTTTGGAAGATCGGCGTAATAGTCCCTCAGTTTTATGTTTATGTGATTCTATTAAACTCTCTATTTTATAAAATAATAAAATGTCAAGCTATTTCTTTTAAAAAAAATTAAAGAAAAAAGGAAAGAAAAAAAAAACTTAAGTGGGACGGGGCGTGGTGAGGCGGGTTGAAAACTGAAAAAATAACTATACGGGGCAGGGCGGGGCGGCTAAAAAAACTGAAAAAATAACTATGTGGGGCGGGGCAGGTTGAAATTTTTGTGGGTTTTCCCAAACCCGCCCCGCCCCGCCCCATTGCCATCCCTACCTAATACTCCCTCCTTTTAAATTAGACGATGTAGTTTGACATGACACATAGTTTAAGGAAAAAATAAGACTTTTGAAATATGTGGTCATAAAAGTTTAACGGGTAAAATCTTTGTAGGGCCATGGAATTTGTGTGGCAATAATTTTTTTTTATTAAGGGTAAAATAAGTAAAATTTGAAAAGTCTAAGGTTAAATTGTATTCAAATATATATATATATATANAATAATGTACTGAGTATGTAAGGCAGAACTGAAACATAACCATAAGTCAACATAAATTAAAAACATATAAGAATCAACCTGAATCTCTGAAGTACCACCGTATATGCATACTTATTGTATTCAAATATATATATATATATATATATATATATATATATATATATATATATATATATATATATATATATATTTCATTCTTCTTAGAATGATAAACTAATAAGGAAAGTGCTTCATTTAAATTGAAACATGGAGAGTAATGTTCTTAAAGGGTAAGCATATTAAAATCAAAAAAGGTAAACACATAAAAAAAGTCAAATGTATTCATCTTCTACTATTTACACATAAAAATAGTAGAAGCTACTGTTCGTCATACCTCAAAAGGATTTTTTGGTTGATGGTCACAATTGTTGCGTTTTTTCTTTAAAGGGTGTGAATAGAAAATGGAAGAGGCACCTTTTGGATTGCACCTCTCCATCTCACCCTTCCTTTGTCTATAAATTTAGAGGCTTGGCCTCATTTTTCAGATATGGAAAATCTGAAAACTTCTCCCCTCTTTCCTATATTGTTGCATTATTTCACATAAATATAAGTGTCGAGTGTGATTTGCTCCGTTTGTTGAGTTCGCTGAAATTCTGTGATTTGTAGTGCTGCTATCACAGAATAGTTATTCCGTTCTATCCTGGGAGGAATTAATCCATAACCTTGGGCAACAGTGAGGGGATTAAATTCCTTAAGGACACACTGTGCATTCAGTGAGCTCGAAATTATTTTACGATTTGTTTATTGAATTAACACTTGTTTGCTTTTCTGATATTCTGATTTTGAACACAGTAATACCAATGATAAATGATATTGGGGTGAGAGAGGCAGTCAATAGTGAGATAGAATCCATATTAAGTAATCATACTTGGGAATTGGTTGATCTTCCTCCAGGAAATAAACCTTTGGATTCTAAGTGAATTTTCAGAAGGAAAATGAAAGCTGATGGTACTATTGACAAATATAAGGCAAGATTGATTGCCAAAGGATTAAGACAACGAGAAGGTCTTGATTACTTGACACATACTCACTGGTAAGGAGAATTACATCTATTTGGATGATAATAGCGTTAGCCACCATGTATGACCTTGAAATCCATCATATGGACTTAAACTTAAATGGAGATTTGGAGGAAGAAATTATTATGAAACAACCTGAAGGGTTCGTGGTTCCTGGAAAAGAAAGAAGGTGTGTCGACTTGTTAAGTCACTTTACAGACTAAAACAAACACCCAAACAATGGCATGCGAAATTTGACTAGAAATTATTGTCAAATGATTTCAAACTAGTGTATTTACATTAAGAATACTCTAAATTATGTAGTCATTGTTTGTTTATATATGAATTATATGTTGATTGAAAAGGCAAATGAAACATGTGAAATGTGGGGGCATTTAGCTTATGCATAAAAAAAGCTA